GGTATTCAGCAAGCCTGTACTTAAATGGCTGTGGTTCATAGGTGGCCTGTCAGTTTAGACAGCAACGAAATACAGTGCCCTGGCCTTTGTTCTGATGGCCTTTTTTTGGGGGGGGTATGAAGCACTTAGAATGTCTTGATTTTTGTTTCCCTTTCTCAAAGACAATGTTGGTGTTCAGTGTGAGGAATTCACTTTCCTAGAACAGCCTTCAGAGCTACAGTTCATTTGCTAGGGCTCTGAGTCTGGGTTTAAACCGTGGAAAACTTAATGAGGTAGAGAAAGGTCTCTAACCTCAGTGGCCCATTGAGGCAGAGCCATACCAAAAGAAGTGGTCAGGCCTCCCTTCTGTCTTGCTCACATTCTGTGGCCTCAGAGGAGACACCGGCCGAAATTGAGGGGCCTACTTTCTGAGGACTTCGGGAATCTTCCCCCTGTGGCTTATTCCTTCCCTGACAGCAGATCTGACCTCTGGCTGTTAGGCTCTTGGTGCTGGGACTGGGGGACAGGTGGATGTGGCCTCCTTAGACCCATACAAACAACTATTCTCTTCCTGGAGACTTAGGGCCCAGTGGCTTAAGAATTCAGTGTACTGGGGGGAGTATAGAGGGTCACGCCATTGGCCCTCAGGGAAGAAGGGCAATCCCCAGGTGTGGACACTCAAACTCTGAAGGAGCGGAGGGAAGGTGAGAAAGGTTTACTCCTCAGGGGTTCCTTCTACCCAACAACCACAGATCTGGCTTGCACCCCCACCCCCAAATGGGTTCCTCTTTTTCTTTAACCTGAGTCACCACAAATCACAAATGGAGCCCTTGGGGGCGCAGGTCTCAGGCTCCACCAACCTTCGAGCATCTGGTGGCCTTGCCTCTAGGGGCGTTTTAGGAGTTTAAATCCACTTTGTTTCAGCGGCTGTGGAAATAAATTCTTTTGTTTATTTGAGGATGGGTGAGAGGCATTCCCTTCAGGGAAATGTTACCAAGTAATATAATAATTTTTCTTCCTTTGGCACCTTCTGCCCACGACCTGTCCTCTTCCTTGCCACTCGGTGCCCCACCCCCGCCGGCTCTATAGCGCTACCTTCGCCCTTTCACCCGGTAGAATCTCCCACCTCGCTTTACTCCACAAATTCCAGCCCCGCCGGCGGCTACGGGACTGTTGCCCCGAGCGGAGAGCTCGGGGAGCGTCGGGCGGGAGGAGGCTGGGAGCGATCCCAAGAACAACCTTTGTAGAGAAGTAGAGCAACCCCCCCCATATCTGTTTGGTCAGCTGCCCCCGCCTCGAGCCATTGCCTCCTAAAGAGCCAGGTCGACACTCCTTGCTCGCCGACGCTCGAGCTCATTTCTAAGGACCCTGTGGCACCTGCGGGCGCACCTTCTGTGCGCGTCAAGGACCCTTTGGAAAGGGTTTGATCTCTCTCTCTCTCTGTCTCTCTCTCTCTCTGTCTCTGTCTCTCTCTCTCTCTCTCTCTGTCTGTCTCTCTGTCTCTCCGCCTCTCTCTCTCTCTCTCTCTCTCTCTCTCTCTCTCTCTCTCTCCTCCTCCTCTCCGGCGACTCGGCGAGGGCAGTGTGAATGGGGGTTCGGAAAGGAATTTCATCCTAGTCTGGCAGATCCCAGTTTCCTGGCCCACGATTTTGTGTCTCGGGCCGCCCACCCACCGCCCCTCTCCTCCCGGGCACAGCCTGTCGGTGTCCTGATGGGGCTGTAGAGAAGCCAAGGTCTGAGTCCTCACGGAGTCGTGCCCCCAAGCAGCGTTGGGAGGAGTGGTCTGCAAAACTCTTCGCGAACTCAGCGGTCCCTTCACGCACCTGGGTCCTGTGGTCCTTCGGGTCGGCTAAGCAGACCCGGGAAAGCGCAAGATATGTAGGCGTTTTATCCGCCCTTTGCTCGCGGTTCTGACCCATCTCCCACTCAGTCTTCCCCGCCCGCTGACTCCTGGGGGAAGAATGGGGCACCCTGCCCCGGAGTGGCTCCAGCCGGTCCCCTCTCGGCTGGGTACTTGGGAAGCAGGTTGGGGCGACTCCTGCCCGCCCTCTGGTCTCCTAAAGGGACCGCTTCCAGCCAGCTCCTGCGCATCCGAAGCTGCGGGAAAGGCTTTCATATTTGGAAGGGTCTGGAGGACCCTTTCTGGGGCTCCTCGAGGTGCGCGCGCACGGGGCGGGGGCGGGCGGTAAATTGCCCGGGGCAGGTCGAATCTTGAACCTTGGTTCCCCACTATGTTTGTTTTCCTACGGGGTTGGGAAGTTTGCGGCCCCATTCCCCGGGCCAATACTTTCCTCAAACTGGTGCTGAACACTTTTCTTTCCATTTCTGCTTTGTCTTGTACGAGGAAAACCCCACGAAAAACATATAGGTGTATGTGGAGGGCGAGATTCCATCAGATTGCGGTGCAGAATTTTACAGCAATCCGGGCACCACGGGCCTCCCTGCCTCACCAAAATGTTCTCAGGCGCGAGCCAAGTTTTTTAAGGGTCGGGCTATTTCTACCTGCCCTCCAATTCCAGTCTGGGGGTTGGGGTTTCGGATTTCCTAATCGCTGGGAACCCAGCGCCCCCACCCCCAGCTGTGAACTGCGCAGAAGAGAATTTGGAGGAACTGAAGCGACCGTGACTGGGACTAGCTTGGGACTTGGAGTGACCGAGAGCGTGCGCGAGGGGGCAGAGGACCTGACCTCTTCCTTTCCGTACTTCGATCGGGGAGGATAGGTAAGAAGAGAGACTTTTGGGAAGCTGCGAGCCCAGTGCCTCAGGGTGTACGGCGATGAAGAGCTGGCGGGAGAAGTGCAAAGGTTTGTCCGGAGAAGGAGGGGGGACAGGTGTCCCTGGAAGTCGCCAAGTCCGGACGGAGAAGAGGGCCTAGGTCCTAACTCGCGTTTGTTTATTCTTTTGCCTGCGATCACAGCTCCAAGAAAATCAGAGTCAAGCGAGTCTGCGGCGCGGGGCTGGGCCGTGACCCGCTTGACCTCTCCGCGACCAGGGCAGGAGTCTTCGCCCTGAGGGCAGCGCCTGCCTGGGTGGCCCGGAGCAGGCGGGAATTGCTTCTCAGCGTCCCGGCTGCACACCTGTGGGCCGCGCACGGTC